GCAGGATGGCTCACAGAGACCGCTCATTGGCGGAAAAGACAGGTTGGCATTGCTTTTCGGACGCACGTAAAAATTCGACCATTTTGCACATCTGACGATGGCCTGCAGAGGAGGCATAAAGAAATATCAAAAAACAAGCCATTCCTGTCCACATACATGCTAACCTAGTCCATGAAAAAACGTCGTTTCGTAAGTATTTTACAAAAGGCAACTCGGCTGGGTTTGGGCTACCCTTTCTTTCAGTAAATGCCACCGTCAAAGACATGAAAGACAAATTGCTCTTTCATCAAGGAACATTTACACATACTCAGACAGTCATGACCGTGGTCACCGAATGGGACTCGGAAACCTCATCGGATAGGTTGCCGTACGCCAGCACCCTCTAACAAGTTCAAGGTTACGACACACCAAAGTATTGTGGTCCTACCGACTGTTCTCCTAAGCGGTTGCATGAGTCCGCCAATTGGGTTATCCTGCCAGACCAAATAATATTATTGGCCGGATCATCTAAGAAACTAATGGCGTTGTCAATACACGCAAGAATGTGATTCTCAGGAAGTAAGCGGGAAGAAGCAGATGATATCGACGATGTGATACGACTAATTCGACGAGACCCGGCCACACATTCAAATTTGATGGGGCCGAAATTCTCGCGAGAGGTGACAATCATGTGAGTCGCGAGTTACTTGACTCATGGTTCACGAGTTCCCAGTGCAAGTGCAATGACCTGCCGAACCCATATTCGGCGATCAGTTTGACCAAAGCAATCAAGGAGCCAGATGGATGAGCGATCATCATGCCCTCGTCCAGCACGTGTGATGAAAGTTCGGCGGGCTACGACCCGCACGTCGGCCTCTAAGCAAGTAGCGACAAGCAGACAACTATCCTCGATAGCGAAAGCCGCTAATTGTCATGGGTATTCAGCAGCTTAGCGACTGTATCCTATAAACGCTGCGATTCCTCGTGCATTAATTACCTGTTTGTGCTATCGCCTTTGAGGATGGCTCCGCGACGGGTTTCGAAATTTCAGATGAATAAATTCGTGTCCCAGCGATCGCATTTGCCTCTTCACAGTAATGGCGTTCCCTGCCTGACTGTAGGGATCCGTCCAGACCCCCGACAAAACACAAACCGAATTCCATTTCGGGGTAAAAAAAAACCCCCAAATGACCAGGAAAAAACCGGTGGTCTGTTTCCATTAGGTCTGCACCGTTTGTTCTCAGAGTACGGACAGAAAAGGAGAGCAAAAACCGAACCATAGAGAAATAGTCAGTATAGGCAGAATGAGCATATAAGTTGTAGATAATAAAACAGCGATATTGATGACATAAAAACAGAAGCCGAGACCGCGAGAGAAAGTGAGAGAAAAAAGGAATGACCAGTGGGGCAGGCGGGACCAAATTCGACGGCAAAACACGGTGCACATAGGGTGTGAGCCGCCCACATGATGATATCGTCTTGCTTTTATGTTAAGGCGGCGTGTGTTCAAATCCAGACAGGCAAAAGGCTTGATAGGAAAACAACTGAAGGACACGGTCATCGCCTTCCATTCGGCTGGTTCGAAGGGCCAGGCAAAGGATGGGACGGACAGGGTAGTATGAAAGCTCAAACAAGAGTAAAAGGAGGGGGGTTAGAGAGATCTGACAGTATCGAGCTGCGGTAGTCGCGGAGGGGCATTGAAGTCAGAGGTAGGGAGGACGCTAATGCATCCAATCGCGCGAGATGGATGTTTCAGCGACCTATCGCAGTTTCGAGTAGATGGGTGGTCGAAGTTTCAGTCGGATGCACTTCAGCACCACCAGGGGGATACAACTGACCGCGGTGATGGCGAACACCTTCCACACGAAATTCCAGGTCAACAAGAAGGCTTGATCTGAAACGAGAAGAAATTTGACAAATGAGATGAGTAGCCGGGGCGATGGTAAGGCACATCATCAAAGTTGAAAGAAAACTATCCGCAAAATATGAAAAAAGCAGACTGGGATTGTAGGATTAAACCGAAACAACTTCACTGAAAAACTAACAAAGTTAAATCGTAGCTAGCAAACAACGCATGCTTGGCAGACAATTCGAATCTCCGGTCAAAGATAATGACTCTATGTCGAGTTTAGCACCACGACAGGCCGTGGCTCTCTTTCGCTCTGCCAAAAAACTTGGCATCTTATAAAGCTGAGGCGGCTTGCAGTGCGGTAAGGATAACTTGACTGATTCACCTACTTTCCACTTCTATGTGTCAGTGGTCGCTGAGCAACCGCCTGCCAACGCTCTGAAGTGGAGATCTAGGGCAAAACAGGAGCATGTGTGATGCCTCTTACAGTGGCAATAGATCTGCCAGCGTCACTTCAGTATGACGGCTAGAATGCCTCGGAATTACCCCCAGAGCGCTGTTTGGGGTCCCCGCTCCCTAATGAGCGGAAACGAGGGCCAGCTGAGGATGACAAAAAATGCCGAAACGATTAATCCACCCTATCCGCTAGCACTGCTGCTTTGCCAGCCACCAATAAAGGTGACAAATAAGCCCGCATTCCGTAGCATTAGGTGCTGTCTACACAGTTCGGGTCACTAGAACAATCAAAACGACGGATGAAGAGAGGACTCACCGAAGAAGGACTTGAAGACCACGAGAGCGACAATGTAGATGGCAAGACTGGCCAGCTCAGAGATAATCATGACGAAGTGCCAAGTACGAATCGTCAGAGCGACCATAAGCAGTTCCGTCAGTAGAACCGAAGTGAAGGTAATTGAAACCACGTGGATGAAGTCGGCATCGAAGAGGATCAGGGCGCCGTACATAATGACACCACCTGCAGAGGAAATCACATATGAGATATGAATAGTTCACGTGGTCTAATATACAACATTTGGAGCACTAAACCACCAAGTTCAGATAGCAGCGGCACCAATGAAGTCGATGAGTAACTACCATTAAGACTAATACTACTGCTACTACTACCACTGCTACTATTGCTTCTACTAATACTACTGTTAATACTACTGCTACCACTAATACTAATATTATTATTACTACTGCTACTACTAATATTACTGTTACTACTACAGTAGTCGCCAAGGCCCATGCGACGTTCATCATGAAATTTGACCTGGTGATTTAGCGTATATTTAGTAACACTATTTTGATTC